GTCCTCCTCTGCAACCTCCATTACGTTCCGTTGAAAAATGCCCGCTCTGCCTGCCTCCTCAAACACGCCCTGTGCACCACATTGACGCCATATACAGAGCAAGCTGCTCGTTTATGCCACATTTTGGCTCTTTTGCAATGTCGACCTTTATCCTGCGTGATAGGTCTCTCAATCCTCCTCCTTCACGGGCGGATTCCCAACTCCTCGTACCATCTTCTCGATGAACTGCCCTCTCACGACTTCTTTTGGCTCACCCATCCCCAGACTCATGTAGCTCAGCAACGCCGGATGTCCAATGTAACTTGCGTAACTATCTCTCACGATGGTGTTAGTCCATTCGTGTCGTGTCGTATCTGCGTGACCCGTGCCAACGTATTTTGCTTGGAGCGACTCGAGTTGTTGGAGGGTACGCAATTTGTCGGCCATGGTTAATCAAGATCGGCGAATTCTGCTAGGATTCGAGGACGTATATTGTCTGAGGAGTATTGTAATACTGCGCTGCGTATGATTTTCTATGACTGGTTCTGGTCAAGGACGAAAGAAGAGCGTGCTTGCCGTCTAGCATTTTCTCGGTAACTGCCTCAGGCATTAACGCATATCTACTAATAATGCCACCCGACTCGAGCAATTCATGGTAACTTGAGGCTGGACACATACCAACACCAGGAAGACATTCAGCATAGCACCTTCTCAGTGTAGCAATCCCCATCTGTCTCTCCTAGCGATCTCTACAACATGAACTGCATGCCCACGCGCCGCAAAGCTTGCTGCTGCCCCACGCTTCTCGAAGCTGCAAAACTGCATCATACTTTGAGCACGAATCAGCAGCAACCGCGGAGCCATCCGTTCTGCTCTCCGCGCTCTGTTACATCGAAAGATGGAGCTTGAGAGCCGATATTCGCACCGAAATTGCTGGTAAATATTGAGCTAGGCCTTGTGTGTACACAACTTCTGCTCTCATATCCTCGGTTGAATGACCGCACACCCCAGAAAGGCTCGGTCTCGTAGCCGTAAACACTCACAATTGCCTTTCTCGCAACTTGATTGACTGCTTGACCTTCCCGTTCGTGTGTGGAAGTTGACCGAGGCCTCGACTTGCCTATTTGTCCCAGAGCTGCCTCTGCTTTTCCCCCGACCATGAATCCACTCTCCAGACAGTTCGCCTCTCTCACACGCGCCGGCGCAAAAGCTCCATCCAGGTCGCTCAGATATACATCTCCTCCATCCTCGAGGACATACCTTACCATGTCTTCCTCCACAGCCAGCCGAAGATTAACAGCAGAATCAGCAAGGATGGGTTCAGTATCACAACAGCGGAATGCCAGTTCCTCGGCAAAGATCCAGGTCAAGAACCCCGTCGTTGAGCTCGATGGTGATGAGATGACGAGGATAATATGGCAGGATATCAAGGACAAGTTCATACATCCTTACCTGGACATTGACCTGAAGTACTACGACTTGGGGCTGCCATACCGGGATGAGACAAATGATCAGGTCACTATTGATGCCGCTGAGGCCATCAAGAAGTACAGTGTTGGTGTGAAGTGCGCTACTATCACACCTGACGAGCAACGAGTCGAGGAATTCAAGCTCAAGAAGAGTATGTGGTACCCATTTATCCCATGATAGACCGATACTGACAACATTACCTAGTGTGGCTATCGCCCAACGGCACGATCAGAAACATTCTAGGCGGCACCGTCTTCCGAGAGCCCATCGTTATCCCAACCATTCCTCGTCTCGTTCCTGGCTGGAAAGAGCCCATTGTGATCGGCCGTCACGCTTTCGGAGACCAATACAGGGCAAAAGACCGAGTGATAGACACAGAAGGCAAGCTCGAGATGATATTCACTCCTAAAGGTGGCAAGCCAGAAACGATAGAAGTCTACAACTTCGAGAAGACTGGCGGTGTAGCACAGACACAATACAACACAACAGACAGCATAAGGGGCTTTGCACATGCATCATTCAAGTATGCGATCGACAGAGGCTACCCACTGTACATGTCAACCAAGAACACCATCCTGAAGGCCTACGATGGACGATTCAAGGACATCTTCCAGGAGATCTACGAGAAGGAATACAAATCACAATTTGAAGAGAAGAAGATCTGGTACGAGCACAGACTGATTGACGACATGGTTGCCCAGATGCTCAAATCAGAAGGCGGCTTCGTCATCGCTATGAAGAACTACGACGGAGACGTGCAATCCGATATCATTGCTCAGGGCTTCGGCTCACTCGGTCTCATGACTTCGCAGCTGATTACACCGGACGGTCTGACATTCGAATCAGAGGCCGCTCACGGCACAGTAACGAGGCACTACAGAGAACACCAGAAGGGACGAGAGACATCCACGAACCCTATCGCGTCTATCTTTGCCTGGACGAGAGGCTTGGTCAAGAGAGGCCAGCTTGATGAGACGCCTGAGCTTGTTACTTGGGCTGAGAACCTCGAGAAGGCGGTTGTCCAGACAGTGGACGAGGACAAGATCATGACCAAGGATCTTGCGTTGGCGACGGGAAACAAGAGTCGTGAAGCCTATGTTACCACTAGCCAATTCATGGAAGCCATTGAAAAGAGGTTTAAGAAGAACCTAGCGGCTGAAGGCATGGGTAAAGTTGCAGGTCAGTGAGCAAATGATGTCGTTTTATGTGGTTGCCTCGATAAATGATAGATGAAGATGCATTGGAAGGAGCTACTGGTGTGATTTGACGTATTATGGTAGGATAGTGCAACCACATTTGTGGTGGTCTTGTACACAGAGTTTTAATCAGAGTATCTTACAACCCTTGCTACGTGCATCCTCCTGAGTCTTCTCGTACATTGCCTCCAGTCTTTGAACACTGCTTGCATCGCTCGATGGCCAGGATTCTCATCGGTTATCACTACTGGCACTCCGAGTTCGATTGCTCTTTGTGCTCCAGCCGACCTAGGTCGTCGACAGTTGCCAACTACGGCCTTGCATCCTTATCACGGCGTGGCATTGCAGCTGTGCCCAAGCATTAATCAGATAGTGACTCTTGAGCTCTCGAAATGGTTGACTTGGTTTTCTCCTGGTGCACTCCACGAATGCGGCATGTCGAGAAATATGTTAATTTTATCAACTGCCAGTGGTATCGATCACGCCAGCCGGAACATCCTCATACTGTTCTCCCACGCGGCTTCCGCAACTTCTTCCACACTCAGCCCCTTCAAGCCCGCCACCACAAAAGCTACTCGCTCGATTGAACAGCTCTCGTTCCGATCTTTCACCATCATGCCCATCTCGAACTTATCCCGCTTCTTACTCTGCGGCAGTGGCTTAGCATTCACTAGATACCTCTTCGCGACTTCGCTTGTTGCCGGTATCCCACCCCATGGCGCGTCTGTTTCGATTTGCAGCCGCACTAGTGGGATTTCTCGCACCATCTCCAGGCTTTCCCGATCGCGGAAAGAGAAGCCATTGACGCTGATATCGAGCCCCATGTTGACAAGCTTCTGCATTTGAGACGTCGAGCCAACAAACGAGTGGACCACGCCTCTCCGCGGCAGATTCGGTAAGTACGGCTCAATTGTGTCCACGAAGTCCTCGAATGCAGCTCGACAATGCAAGAACAGGGGAAGATCGAGCTGAGCAGCAACAATCATATCAAGTTGCCGCTTGAACGTCTTCAGCTGAACTTCCCTCGACGCCTTCTCGACGTGATCGTAGTCCAGTCCAAGCTCACCATAGGCGACAATAGGGCTCGGTTGCTCTTCCACCAGATCCTGTACGCGACCGAACAGCTTATCGAGGTAGGTCTCGTCCTCGTCTGGCTCGGCGGCGTGGTAAGGATGTACGCCGACGGTGGTTCGACATTGTTGAGGGTGTGATTGTACAAAGGAGAGGTTGAAGTCAATATCTGAGAGACTCATGCCAGTGAGCAGCACCTTCTCGACGCCCGTTGCCGCGGCTCGGTCAAGAACGGCATCGAAGTCAGGTTCGTGGTATTGCTTGCCGCGGTAGATGCCGGCGAAGTCTTTCGCTGTTGCTGTTACTGCGATCTGACTGTCTTAGTACTGCTCCGCGTAATCTTCGAGTATCTGAGAAGTAAATGAGCGATCATTGACTTACATCAGCGTAGCGCAAGACCTTCGTCGGAGCTTTAGGAGCGTCTACCGGCATGCCGTCAAGCAGGTCGGCCGCCATGGTGACGAAGGCCTCACTTCCGCCGAAGTACCTCGATGAATGACCCGGTCACGGACAAGGATGGATGCTTCGACACATCAACAAGTCTCACTCGAACATTTTGAAATGTAAAAGGACGTTCTTTCAGAGCGGGAAAATCCTTTTTGACTCCCAGCTCCGCTATGCTTGGCATGACTTGGCACTGATACAGCATAGCTCAACCATCGGGGATGCATGCCTTGAATAAGTGTGTACACCTTAGCAGAAAATGCCCGTTTTGCACGCATGCAAGTTCAGGTAGCACCGGATAATGTCGGCCATTCTTCAGCTCCGTCGCCCCAGCATGTCCCACATGAACACGCTCTCCAGCCGCTATAGCATCTTGACTAACGATCGTAGCCTTCGAGCGCTCCATTTCCAGATCCGAGACAAAGCATGTGTAACGAGGGTTTCGAGTTCCTGCGCACGCTCGACCTTCGTAATTTTGATACGCTAGCGGTTGACCCAACGACTTACTGGCGTGCCCCCTGTGACTCGGAACGAAGCATCTGAAAGGACGTGCGTTCAGATGCCAGGTATAAATTGGTGCTTGTAGCAATATTCCGCCGGTGGCTGCCCTTCACTGTGAACAACGGTCGTCAACGGGCCAAGCAACCAGTCCGATCGATATACCGCTACAGACACGATTTCGAACGGTGGTCGGGAGGAGTGCCGTGCGCAGGGACCTTTACCTTTCTATCCGTCCTTCAACGCATTCGGATCCGGGTCACTCTTGGATCAGGTCCTGTATATGCTTTGTACCTAGAAAAAGTGTGATCCTCCTGTCAAGATCCCACAACCACGCCCTTTGAACCAGTAGCTCAGCGGTAGAGCGCTCCCACCTTGATAGCAATGGGGCTTCCAGGATCTAGTGAGACTGCTAGTGAGTGGATGTGACCAACGTATATATTGGGGGAGGTCGTCTGTTCGACTCGGACCTGGTTCGTGGTTATAGCTTTCTTTTTGTCAGCTTCCGACGATGGCATGCCTTCGCTTCCCAGTGCGTGAAAGCGGCACGGCGTCTGCATTCAGGAGGAACGACTAGACGGATGAGTTTCGAAAGTATCCTTGAGACAGGCATGTCACTCCCCATGATCTCAGAATGGTCACCGCTTACCCTCGGACTGACTATTGAACCGACGCTCACCCACACCTCTCGCTGGAATTGCCTCAAGCCCCATAGAACCCCTCCTCCATCCCTCCCATCACCCCGGTCCCTCCGCGCTACTCACTGCGCCCACAACAGGGCTCTCCTGCATCGCATCAGTAACCGCCCACCACTCACGAGCCCTCGTATCTGCCGCCTGTCGCGCCATATCTGCATCGAAATCGTTGCCGATACACTTGAAGGTTGCGAAGAGCATGGGGCGGCATTTCAGGATGAGAGGGATTGAGTCTGGAGGTTAGCATGACGGATGAGTTTGCAGGGCTTGTTTTGTTTCGAAGTTATAGCATCACGTGGTCACAAGAGGGGAAGCAGCTGCTTGGTGAGAGCGGGTGCAGTGCTTGTACGTGACAAGGTCTGTACTGCTGCAGTGCTCCAGAGGATCGAAGCTCGTACAGTCTCGAATGTTGCTGTCTTGGATCTGCGTCAGGATCTCAGGCCATACTGGGGTGTGGTAAATGCATTGGCCGTATCTTCGTGGCAGTTTTGCCATGGCAATTCCATCGCTATGGTCGATATAATGCTACTCAGAGATAACAAGTCGGTAGTGCTGATCGGAAGACAGCAAGAATGAGTTGTGACCGTGTCTCCTTAAGGAGAAGCTGCTTCGGGTGGATTGACACCGAGATCAGTTCGCGCTAGCTAGGACGTGCTCCGACAGACCTCTCAGATCGAGCTCTGGCGTGCTCAGGAACTGAACTTCGTAAGACTCGCTCTACGAGAGCTCGATATGGTCCACGGCTCATCGTTCCCACTCCAGGCACAAAGTCGAAGCTCTGAGGCGTCCAAAGGATGAAATGACACTGGCAGAGAAAGTACGCGTCTTGCTTATAGATGCTCATATGTCCAACTGACAGACAGCCTTGTAAGGCAGCCGGTCGCTCTACGGGAGCTGACATAGTTCCAGACTTTACACTCATCGCTCGATCCATAGGGGTATACAGCCGCGCGGTGTTCCGTTGGTAGGCACCCGAGGGACTTGGGCATATCGGCATTCTTTGAGTCTCTACACATGGCGACGTTGAGGTATGGACCAGAATCTGGGGATGCGATAGCAACCTAACTAATATGTATGATCATGGAGTTGCTATGGTGAAATCTTGCATGGAGGGCCTGTCGAGCGCTTCAGTGAAGGAGATAAGGGACGAGATTAATGACTGAGAGGCATGGGCAAATGCCGTGTTGATTTCGTCCAGGAATCTGGTTTCATGGTACTGGCGCCCTTCAGAGACCGTAATAGAGGCGTCGCTCCGAAGCATTGTTCATTTCATTGTGACCCGGCTAGAGCCCCAAGACTGGCGCAACGGGCCTTTGTCATATTTCGGGATATCTATCGTTGCCAACAAAGACGTGATGGCGAACGACATTAGTTTGGACTTCCACTGTCGCTGACTGCATTGTGCACCGCATCGCCCGCGACAGTCGTTCGAATTCAAGCATTTCCCTTAACTCCTGAGCACACATTTCTCGAAGCTGTACAGACCACAGCAACTTCCAACTCGACAACATGCCCTTACGACCAATAACAAACCCCTTCAAGGAGCTGGGCCTCCGCCCTCACCACACAGAGCAAGATGTCAAGAAAGCATACCGAGCACTGGCGCTCAAGTATCATCCCGACAAAGCCGGCCAAAAAGGCGAAGAAAAGATGAAACTTATCAACGCCGCACATGAAGAGATCATGTCAAAGAGGCTCGCTCGCCTTGCAACGCCACCTCGAGCCGCGAAGCAACGATCTGAAGAGCGCCGAAGACAGCAGAAGTATACCTCACCAACACCATCGTCGCACAAAAGGCGCAGTAGCGAAGATGCCGATGATATCGAAATTGACACCGACGATTCTAAAGACTCTCCAAGCCCCACTCAACCCTCTCATGACGATGACGAAGGCTCCGAGAAAGGTGCAGGGGAGGTGGATCCTAACTATTACTCGGAGGCGGGAACGCAATATGAAGCCAAGGAAGACATTCGCTTCAAGCATGATTGGCAATTTATTCTGCTGCTGCTGCATGCGTACGTCGAAGCTGCGACGTCGCGTCAGTACAGGATCCAGGGTAGTCGGGCCATTGACCGTTTCGACAGAGCGAAGATAATCCTCCGGCAGCTGGACTATGTGTTCAAGGGCACAAAGCCGAAAAGTAGGGCCGAGATATGTAGACGGATTGGTCGGATATTTGATTATTTGAAGCGTGTTGAGGTGTCGGATTGTCCTAGGCTTGCTGAGGCGAGAGCGAAGGATGCGAGTCTGAGCTTTGACCGGATGGCAAGAGAGGCGGGTATTGATGACTTTTTGAGGGATAAGACGGTGGAGGCGAGGGGGTCGTCGAGGTCGTATGCTAGGTCTGCGTTTGATGAGAGTGGGGAGATCTGGACGGCGGATGAGATGTGGTTTGAAGCCGAGTGTGAGAGGCAGGCTGATTTGAGGTAGAGGGACCAAGACTCATAGATTTTGCTGCGAAGCTCATCATGCCATGGCAGACTGTGCCGTAGATTGCACAGTTTTAACGTAGCCAAATCTGAAGACAATCGGCGTGCCGTATATTTCGTTGTAAGACCTCTGTCCTCATTCTCAAGCCTTACATCGGGGATTCACTGGCGGTGAAACCACCTCCGAAGGTAAATCCAGCAGCTGGCTGCCATCCACAGAAAATGCTTGAGTGATAATGAGTAGAACACTGTCAACAATTTCCTGGAGTGAAAGGAGTGATAGACGAAACGAGCAATCATCACCTCTCAAGCCAACCGATAAACCCATACTAGCATCTCGGGTCTTCACTTATTCCTGCCGAACTTTTTCTCTTTCGCTCGTCGAACTGTTGTTCTTTTGACACACACAAGAACTCACACGTCTCCGCCTATTTTACCCTAGCCCGACTAGGCAGCCAGCACGCAGGCAGCCGTTCGCTCAGGCATCAGCCCCTCTATTGTGACCACTTGGGGAAGGCACATCCAGCCGCTCGCATTGCTCTGCCGAGTATCTGTCGGCAGGAACGACGCTCGTTGAAAAGACCCTCAAGATCCATATTGGTTCCACCCACAAGCTCGATATTCCACCATGGCCTCCTTTGTCCGGACCGCAACCAAAACCCGACCCTTTCACTACTCTTGGCATACCCCGTTCTAGCACAAAGAACAATGTCAGCAAGGCCTACCACAAGCTTGCGCTACAATACCATCCCGACAAAGCTGGCCATGAAGGCACAGCAAAATCCCAGGAAATCCAGGCGGCATATGAGGAGATCTTCACAAGGAATCTGTGTTCTGACTCTTCTGCAAGGGTGGAGGAAGGAGAAGGGTCATCCTTCGACTCGTCGGACAGAGCGATATGGGAGGGACCGCCAATACCACCGAACCTGTCTGAGAAGGAGAGATTCGACTTGATGAAGGGAAGACTGAAGCGGTTCTTCGAAGGCAAGAGAGGGAGACGTTTAGGCGGAGCTGATCAAGATGCAGCTTACGCGTCGTTCGAGCTACAGATTCAGAATCAGCTTGAGGTTCTCCAAGGTCTGACCCATACGATGGACACCAGAATAGGCACTGCTGTTGGTCATGCGCTATTTGCTCTGAAGAGGATGTGGGTCGACAATACGATTGGAGTACGGAGTGAACTGGTCGGATCGTTCCAATGTCAGACAGTGGCATCCGCTATTGGCGTTCTGGGCTTAGTGTCACATAAGACGATGCGATGTGCCGTGAGCCATTTTGTCGAGTTGGAAGCGAACTGGATCAGAGCCACAGCGAAGAGTGAACCGCAAGTACAGAATTGGCCTGGCATTGGAGGCCCAGGATCCCAGGCGCTGAATGTGGCTTGTACAGGTCCATCTGGAGATGAAGACGTGGAGATGATGGACGTTTGATAGATGTGACTGCCATATTGGTCATGGAACGTGGATGGAGATAGCACCCTCATGGTCAGACCTGCTTCTGCTGAGCCTCATTTCAGGATCTAGGGATTCACTCGAAGCTTATGAAGGGGACGTCCGGGCCAACAATCGAAGGAGGAATGAAGGGAGGAAGGAAAGAAGAAGGAAAGAGTTAAATCAGGCACAAAGCCATTTCCGTCATAGTGCAGATCACGTGATACTCTCAGCATCACCTACTACGAAAGAGATCAAGCAACATCAACAGCCTGAGGAACACGAAGCAGTGGCAAGGATACGTGTCCTGTCAATGTCTTGAGAATGCAAGAATTTGCTTGTATATAGAACACGCGATCTACAGGTACGCCCATTGGTCAGCAGTACATACCTAGGTATTATTGCCTACCTAGTCCCCGCGAGGGGCACCACAAATGTCTAGGAAGAAATCAATCAACCAAAGCACCTCCGTACCAGCCTTCTGCCAGCAAGCCCGGCCCCTTATCCTTCCACCATGAGCGACACGAATGACGCTATTCACACGTTCTCCAAGGCATACCCTGAGCAGCTGGCAGCTGGAGTATCCTCCTTGAGCCTCGAAGAAGTGCGGCAGACCGCGACCTCCTTCCCATTCCTGAGACTTCCGGCAGAACTGCAGATCAAGATCTGCAGATACTATATCGGCAAGCCCTTCAGCATATCTGTGCATCCTCAAAGCGACTGCCATTTTTATGAGCCTTGCAAACACAAAAGCACGTTAGAGTATTTGCACGTTCGCACGAGCGGTCGGTCATTTTCTGATCCTTCTCCCACAAGTCTATTGCAAGCATCACCGGATCTGTATGAGCGAGCTCACGCGGCGCTTCTCGAGGTCTTCATCGGTCGGGTCTCCTGCAGTATCCACTGGGGTGGTGGGGCGCTTTG